GACGGTCAAGGAAAAGAACTGCACTTGACTTCTCGTCAAAAAACATGAAAACAAGAAAAGAGCAGAGTGAAATATTTACAGCGCTGAAAGGAAGACAAACACCACCCTAGAAATCTATATCTAGTGAAATTATCCTTCAAAAGTAAGAGAAAATAAAGACTTTCTCAAACAAAAGCTGAGAGAATTTATCACCAATATACCTCCCCGACAAGAAAATATTAAAATCCTGAGGGAGAAGGGAAATGACGCAGGTCTAAAACTTGGATCCACATAAAGGAAGGAAAAGCATAAGAAAAGAAATAAGTAAAAATAAAATAGATTCCTTCTCTCTTCTCGTTAATCCACCTAACAGATAATCATTTGTTCAAAGCAAAAACAATAACGTATTGGGTGATTATAGCATATGGATAAGTGAAAAGAAAGACAAAAACCTTATAAGATTAGGGAGGGAGGAACCAGGAATGCTATATTGTAAGGTGCCTGCACTGTCCCTCACATGTTATTTGCAAGTGAATTTAGATTAGTTTTAAATGTATTTTGCAAACTCTAGTGCAGCCACATAAAAGTATTTAAAAAGAAATAGAATTAATATGTCATGAAGAAGATATAATCGAGGCATATAAAATGCTCAGTCAAAACCAGAGAAGGCAGAAAAAGAGGGAAGATAAAAGAAACAAGTGAAATGAACAGATAACATTTACAAACATGGTACATATTAATACAACTTTGTAACAATCGTTTTATGTTTTAATACTGGTCTAAATATTACCAATTAAAAGATGGAGTCTAGCTTTAAATATGAAGACACAGACAGATTAAAAGTAAAGGAATGTATTTTTAAAACATGTTAATACTAATCAAAGGAAAGCTAGAGTAGCTATATTAATCTCAGACAAAAAACACTTCAGAGTGAGGAAAATGATGGGGTACAAAGAAGGTTATTACATAAATGACAAAGGGGTCAATTCTCCAAAGTAAAACAGTTCTTAATGTGTATGTACTTAACAACAGAGCATCAAAATACATGAGGCAAAAACTGATAGAACTGCAAGGAGAAATAGATGAATTCACTGTGATAGTTGGAGACTTCGACACCTTTCTGTCAGTGATTGATAGGTTTAGAAGTTAAAAAATGAGCAGGGATAGAGTTGACCTGAACATGAGTTTCAATGAACTTGATCTATTCAGTATTCACAGGATACTTTATCCAATGACTCCAATGACAGAGGAATACAAGTTATTGTTTTGTTTTGTTTTGTTTTTGAGTCAGGGTCTCACTCCGTCACCCACACTGGAATGCAGTGGTGCAATCTCAGCTCACTACAACCTGTGCCTCTCAGGTTCAAGCAATTCTCTGCCTCAACCTCCCAAGTATCTGGGATTACAGGTACCCGCCACCACACCCAGCTAGTTTTTGTATTTTTAGCAGAGATGGGGTTTCTCCATCTTGGCCAGGCTGGTCTTGAACTCCTGACCTCATGATCCACCCACCTCAGCCTTCCAAAGTGCTGGGATTACAGGCGTGAGCCACCACACCTGGTTCACAAGTTATTCTTAAGCTCACATGGAAACATTCACCAAGATAGACCACATTCTGGGTTTAATAAGTTTAAAGGAATAGAAACTATACAAACCTGAACAAATGTAAAAGAATGGGTACTATGTAAAGTATGTTATCAGACCACAATGGAATTAAACTAGAAGTCAATAAAAATTATCAGGAAAATTCAAAAATATTTGGCCATTATATAACATACTGCTCCATAATGTAGGGATTGAAGATGAAATCTTAAGAGAATTTTTGACATATTTTAAACGAAATAAAAATGAAAATACAACTTATCAAAATTTATGGGATGCAGCAAAAGCAGTGATTAGAGGGAAATTTATAGTATTCATTGCATATATTAAAAAAGAAGAAAGATCTAAAATCAATAAACTCCCACATTAGAATATGAGACATAAAGAACAATCTAAACCTCAAATAAGCAATAATAAGAATTATAGCAGTAGCCAATAAAATTTAAAATGTAAAATCACTAGAAAAAAAATCAATGAAACCAAATTTGGTGGGTTTTTATTTGTTTTGTTCTTATTTTTAAATCAATCAAATAGACAAAATTCCAGCTAGGCTATCCAATAAAAAGTTGGAGAATAAATAAATAAATTATTAATATCAGAAATGAAAGAATGGTTATCACTACTGGTCATATGAATAGTAAAAAAGATTATAAAGGAATATTATGAACAACACTGTCTATAAATTTGATGACAGATGAAATGAATTTTTTGGATACACAAACTATCAAAACTTATAAGAGAAATAAGTAATCTGAATAGGCCTATATCTATAAAAGAAATTGAATCAATTAATTAATAACCTGTCAATAATGAATGCACAGGCTCAAATGGTTGTACTGATTAATTCTACTAATTTAAGGAAGAAATTATACCAAATTTATACATGCTCTTTCAGACTATCGAAGCAGAGTTAACACATTTTACTCATTCAATGAGGCCAGAATTACCCTAATAATAAAACCAAAGACATTACAGGAAGGGAAAACCACAGACTAGTATTTCTCATGAACATAGATGCAAAATTTCTAAACAAAATATTAGCAAATCTAATCCAACAGGTTTAAAATAGTGTATAATTATACATTATAACCATATGGAAGGACAAAAGACCTAGAATAGCCAACATAAAACAGAAGATGATGAGGAGGAGGAGCCAAGTAGGAAGACTGAGAATACTCGACTTCAATACTTTCTTTGATGCTGCAATAATTAAGCCAATGTGATGAGAAAGAATAGACAAACAGGTCAATACAACAAAATAGAAAGCCCAGAAATATACCTACACATACCAAGTCAACTAATCTTTCTTGAAGGAACAAAAGCAATTCAATGGAGAAATGATAGTCTTTCAAATAAATCGTACTAGAAAAGTTGTGCATCCGTACATTAAGGAAATGAATAAAGACAAAGACTTTATTCCTTACATAATAATTAACTCAAAATGGATCGTATACCTGAATTTAAAGTTCAAAACTATGAAACCTGAAACTATGAAACTAAGAAATAACACTGGAGAAAATCCAGGTGACCTTTGTTTTGGTGAGGAAATTTTAGATGTAACACTAACACCATGATAGATGATAGAAAAAAATTGATAAGTTGGACTTTATTAAAATAAAAACCTCTGCTCTATGAAAAACTATTTAAAAATGAAAAGACAAGTCACAGACTGGGAGAAAATATTTGCAAAACACATGTCTGATAAAGAATTTGTAACCAAAACATGTAAGGATTCTTAAAACTCAGCAATAACGAAATAGGAAATTCAATTAAAAATGGACAGAAGATCTGAACAGACATCTAACCAAGGAAGATATAGTAAATAAGCACACACAAAAACACTCAAAATTATAGGTCACTAGGGAATAAAATATTAAAACGGCAATGAGATACCACCACACACCTATTACAATGGTTAGAATTCAAAATACTGACAATATTAAATGCTTGCGAGGATGTAGAAAAACAGGAACTCTTATGTATTGCTGTGGAAATGCAAAATGATATAGCCACTCTAGAAGAAAGTTTGAGTCTTACAAACCTAAACATAACCATATCATATAATCTAGCAGTTGAAGTTCTAGGTATTTACCAAGTTAAATTCAAAGCAAAAGCATGCCTGGAGATTTTAATCACAGCTTTATTTATACTCACCAAAAACTGGAAGCAATCACCATGTCCTTCAATATGCGAATGAAGAGATCAGCATTCAGACATCATATAGTGGAATACTATCCAGTGCTAAGAAGAAATGAGCTACCAAGCCATGAAAAGAGATGAAGGGACCTTACGTGCATATTGCCAAGTGACAGAAGCCAGTCTGAAAAGGCAGCATAATGTATGATTCCAATTATATGACATTATAGGAAAGTCAAACCTACAGAGGCAGTAAAAAATCAGTGGTTGCTGCGGGCTCACAGTGGGGCTGTGACATAAGTTAGTAAAGAACTGGAAATTCCTAGAGCAGTAAAACTACTCTGTATAATACTGTAAGGGGTGGTTACATGACATCATGCATTTGTGAAAGCCCATAGAACTGTAATATACAAAGAGCAAATCCAAATTTAAATCATGGACTTTAGTTCATCATAATGTATCAATATTGGTTTATTACAACAAACCACATGACTATAAAATATTCATAACTGTAGAAATTGTGGGGCAGGGGTGAGAATATGAGAATTCTCTGTACTCTCTGCTCATTTCTTCTGTAAATTTAAAACTATTTTTAAAAATGTTTATTGATTTAAAAACAAGATTAACATGTGATGAATACAGAAATAAACTGCAGAAGCTTCAAGAAGAAAGGCAAGGAGACCAGTTAGGTAACATTAGAGAATGATGGTGGTGCTCTGAAATATGGTAGGTACAATAAGCATGAATTAAAATTGAAAAATTCCAAAGACTGTGATGATGTAGAGTCAATCAAATTGTCGAGAGAGAGAGAGAGAGAGAGAGAGAGAGAAGGTTAAAGGGTAGACAGGAAGTTGTGACAGATAAAGAGAAGACAAGTTGATCCCTCAAGTTTCTGGCTTGAAAAAAAAAGTTATCTTCAGCAATCACCCACCACTATTATACTAGAAAGAAATAACCATAGGTGATATGGGTATTTATCTTGCTAAGAATCAGCAAACATTGCCACTAATTTTGCTAAAAATAATAGATTGGAACTATTTTATGTTCCAATGTTTTCTATGGCATTTCACAGGCTTATAGAGACAGTATTCTATGGTTATGATGAAAGATTCTTGATACGGAACAGTGCCTAAATCATTTGCTTTTGTAGTCAGACCTTTAGAAACATGGATTTTGATCAGTTCTTCTCATGTTGGGTATAGTAAAATTAATTGCTGTTGACTCCATTGGCAATTTAAGTCTGCTTTTAAACAGACTTTAGCAATGGTAAGGTGATCAGTTACCTGTGATTTCAAGAAAGGAGATTCTGAGACATGTTGTGGAGCAGCAGAGCCATCTTTTTAATCTCCAGGCCTTTTTGTCATTGCTCACACTCCTGTTGTCAAAACCTGTGATGAACTGAGGAGAAAAGATATATTGGTGTGTTTTCCTGTCATATAAGACAAGATACAAAGGAATGGATGCTTGAAATACTCATTAAGAAGACATGGGTTGTCAGTATCATATAGCAGGGCAGGCTAAATCCATTATGATTAAGGTAAGGGCCCTCATCTTAAAGGTAATTTGCACTAAAAGGTAGACAAAGAGCCAAAGACTCTTAACCTTACTTGCATTTGAAGGTCTTGGAAGAAAAAAAGAAGAGGCACTATTTTGTTTCATGGTATTGGTTTGTAGAAAATGTGCTCTCTCTCTCTCTCTCTCTCTCTCTCTCTCTCTCTCTCTCTATGTGTGTGTCTCTCTCTCTCTCCCCCGGTGTGTGTGTTTGTGTGTGTGTGTGTGTGTGGTGTGTGTGTGTGTGTGTGAGTGTGTGTGCATGCGCATGTATACTTATGCCTGCCAGCAAAGATAAAAGTCAGAAGTAGAGATCTACTTTCTCCCCTAGTTTTCACTTAATATGAACTGCATGATTATTCAGTAAAAAAAGCATTAAATTCAGTCAATATTTTTGGACTACTGTGAGGAATCCATAGAAATAGAAACATGACACATTTTCCTTGATGACATTAATTTCAAATTTTTGCTCAAATGATCAAATAAGCCATGTTAGAGTTAGCTGAGTTTAAACTTGGCTGAGTTTAGTCTAACAGAGCTGACTTCATAGAAGAGATTTCCTGTGAAACATCAAATTAAATTCATCCATATTTGTGGACAAAATTCTCAATAAGTTAGGATTTGATTCATCTACACACAAAGAAAACCCTATTACAGTAAGGTTTAAGTTTGCTTACAGAAAAAGAAGTCCAGAAAGAGTAGCCCTTGTGTATATTAATTTTTGAGAAATGTTTTTCAAGTGAAATCATTTATCTTATTTCTCAGATATCTTCTAATGCAAATATAAGTCTTTTAAAAATATTTCTCACAGATTTCTCTATTGACTTCAAATCTATTCCTTATTTCCAGGTTCCACATGTATGTTGTCATAAATCCAACTTAGCCAAAGGATTGTTTATGTATTTTAGCACAGAATCAAGATACTTTCTTCCCTCTCTATAACAAAACTCTCTTTCTAGAGCCTCTGGTATGGAACAGCAGGAAATAATTTTAAGAAACTCTCAAACACTGAAATTCCATAGGTCACTTTGACAGTGTCAGAATTCTAGTGTTAATTTCCAAGGTTCACTCAAATACTTCACAATCACTCACATCTGATTCCTAATCACAGCAATTTCTGAAAGGTGATTCGTATCTACCTAGATGCTTTCAAAGTAAAAGATATCTAGGATAAAAACTCTTTGATAATACCAACCAGACAACTTTTAAAATGTTTGAATTCAGACACAAGAATCCAATTCCACAAAAATGAAATGTAAGATTAAAACCATCTGACTTCACCATATTTCACATTAACTAAGCCCCAGCTCAGCAAAAGTCAAGAACATAACTAAACTCACTTTTAATAATATTTTTTTTTCTAATCAGCTAATACTTACCCAGTGCTCTAATAAGTTGACAGGCTCCCTTCATATACATTGGTAAGTCATATTTATAATGAAAATAAAGTCTTTAATTCTGGGATCTGGGGAAATAAATAGTATAAGTCTTGAGGATGGTTAAAATAATAGGGGCCTGGAAAAGTGTGTTATGAGAAAGCTATGACTGTTGAAAGAGCTAAGAATTTTTAACAGGGAGAGAGATAACACCAGGTCAGGGGATAGGGAAGAGATACACAGTAAATAACTATCTAGTTATTTTTTAGGTAAATTTTTTTTTTTTTTTTTTTGGCAAAGCAAATGATGACCCTCCCTACTTAAAAGCCTCATTGTATTCCCAGTGTATATTATTGCTAATCACATGTGGGCCTGTAACCACTCAGGCCACATCTTGTACCACTTGTTTTTGTGCCCACTTTTGTCAGATCTGTAACGCTGAACCATTTCTGATGATGTTCCCAGAGAGGACTTTGATGACCACGTTCCTAAAAGGAGTGTTCCATCTCTGTAGGCACTTTTTTTAGGTACTACCTTTTTTATTTCCTTCTCTCTCAGTATTATCTTCTTTATTTGTTCATTGACTCACTTCGTCTTTGCCTTTGCACTAGAATGTATGCTCAATGAGGTGAGGGAATCTTTGCTTTTATTTACATTTGCATTATTAAGATCCAGAACAGTGGTGCATAGAAGGTGCCCAGTAAATATTTATTGAATTAATCAATTATATCAGAAGGTAGAATTCATTCCAATGGAAAATAAAGGGTGATACATTTTCTTTCCATATGAGAAAGAACAGGATAGTAATCTGTGAAGGTAAAAATGCAGTGGTTTCTCATGAAAGTGCTGAAGCCCAGACTGAAGATGACTTACGTAGAGTTGCTTTAGAAGCAAGTTGGAAATCAGTGGCAAAACTAAACAAACCAATCTCAAATATCCCTTCCACAGTATGATTCTATGATACAAAATAAATGGACTATGCTGTGAGTTCCTTGAGTGGAGGGGCATTGTCTTATTCATTTTTATACTCCCAGTGAAATACCTGGCTCAAATATATTAAATGAGAAAGTCATTTTGAAGTTAATCAATATTTCCAGACCTATTTATTCTCTGTGTAGCCATCAGAGTCTAGTAAGGACAGAGAAGCCCCACCAGTAATTTGAACAGTGAATGCAGAACTGTTAACTGTGGTGGTTAAGCAGAGTAGAATGTGGTTAACAACTGATGAAGAAGAAGAGAATTCTAAGGTGTAACAGAAATAGGAACTGCAGGAAGTGGCTCCCTCCCCTAAGGGCTGAGAGAAAAGTGAATAAGAAGAAACATAGAGGTTGTAAGTGTGAGATTCAAAAACTCCTTGCCCACCAATGCAATGAAACCCATGGATTTCAGAACAAACAGAGCTACTCATCACCATGTGAAACCCAAAACCAGAAAGCAGCAAGTCCCCTCTTCTCCCTCCAGCCTCACAATCTCCCTCTGTGCGCAGCAGTGGGAGAGCCTAATATTGAGCCAGAAGAAAAGAAAAAATATTGTTTGCTGAGTCCTGCTCCAGTAGCGCAAAGTAGAACAAAGAAATACAAGTTCAGTGCTGAGAAGCAACAAATAAATGGCACACTCCAACTTTCTCTAACAGTTTTGAAGGCAGTTTTCAAAGGCACATGTCCTTCAGCAACATAAAAGTAAACACATACATAGAGTCAGAAATACAGAAGGCAGGCAAACTAAGATACACACAGAGGTTTTATGAATATGCAAAATGCATGCTTTCATGGATGGTATCTGTTTTGTACCCATTATCAAAATTAAGTCTCAAAACATTCTTCTGAAATAGCTGATATCCCACGTTTTATAGATGAAGAATCCCCGTGAGAGTCATGCTGTTTTAAATCGCAGGATGAAAAACTAGTTACACACCGAAGTTTATAATTTCCATTCTATTGAACTACCTTCCTTGGGAAGTGTGAAGAGTTGAGATAGGATTAGAAAGAGACACATTCAGAATGGAAAGTGCTGCCTTTGCTCTTTATTTTTTTCTTTTTATTGCTCTGCTATATGACCAGGGCAAATTTCCTCACCAACATCTCTAGCACAACTATGTATTAAAACAAAACATGGAGACTCAGCAAGTGTAGCAACAACATATTACATATAGGTGAAACTCACATGCAAACCCCTGCACTCCTCAAGGGAGTAGTAGAATCCAGTTTTCTCTTTCAAATGAATAAAAAGGCAAAAATGTGCAGCTATAGACCCATCGGTACTCAAAGCTAAGCTTTCAAACCAACAAATAAACAATTAATATTTAAAGAAGAAATAAAAGCCAGGTCAGCAGCAAGCATCCTTTAGACCATTTTTACTGACACTTTCATTTTGTTGACCCATTTTTATGTACTTTTATTATAGGATACCTTTAGAAATACGCTCAAGAGCATCATTTCAAAACTCCTTTAAGAAAAATATAAAAATTTGAGGCATCGCTGAATATTTTATCAGGGTTCATTAGGAACTGAACAATAATGATGAGTCAACCTTGAGTACAATGAGAAAGCAACTGCTTCTTTGTGCACAGAAAATGCCACACAGGGTTCATTTGAGTAAGAGGGATATTTGTTACTATTGTTGAGACTTAGCCAATTTTGTCATTGCAATGGAAAGTTTACATCCAAAGCATATTTAGAATTTGCTCTTATCATCAGTTTCATTGTATAACAAAGACTTTCTAATACAATCTTAATCGCATATTAGGATCTAGGAGACACTTGGCTAAACCAGTACAAATCTAGCCACTCTGATAATGACGTGACCCTAAAATAAAGATTGAGGTTCTAGGGTAAAAACACTTCTAAGGAATTTTCTGCTGGTAGATATTAGCTAGTATGATGGTCCCTTTCAAGTCACTAAAATAAGATAGTGCTTCAGTGTACGTAACAGTGGCTGAAATTAGCCTGGCATCTCAAATGAGCCAATAACTTAAAAAGAAGGTGACTTTACAGACTTAAAATGAATGTGAAGTTGGCATAAGCATCATCAAGATATATTTACTTAGCTCCTACAATGCAACGTGCCACATGGCTGCAGATATAAATAGGAGCACAATTTCTTGCCTCAAACAGTCCAAAAACAGTTAGCATCTATTTGGTAATGTGGTAGAACCCAGCTAGATGTTCACCAATTCCTTTTTTTTTTTTCTTGGATGCTAAGAAAGACCACATCGTCCAGTTTCCTTTGCAGTTAGCTTGCTGCCGTGTAATTTGATGCTGCCAAAAGTGATGTAAGTGGAAAATTATGTACACCACTTCCAGGCCAGCCATGAAACAGGCTTTCCCATTTTTCTTACTATGGCTATTTCATGCTAAATGCAAGGGTTTCAGCAAAGTCCAGTGGAGATGTAGAAGTTAGCAGCATCACAAGCTGGAAAGCTACTTGATCCCTGAATTATTTGACCCACGCGAAAGGCTGCCTAGGAAACACCCAAGCAAACTACAGCATAATTTAGAAATATATTGTTGAAATTTAGGGACTGATGAACATAACTAAAGAAGCAGCTGTTACATGTTACACACTGAAGGTGGGACAAATAAAGGAAGACTATAAGTGAGGCTAAATTTTAATCAATCCTGAAGAAAAAGCAGTCCTTAAGCAGAAACAAAGAGCCAGAAGTGTGGGCAGGGTCCACACTATAGGAAAGTAAAAGCAGAAATGCTCACATTTACAAAGGAGTAAAAGAGTCAACTTGGTTGAGGATTGGTGTAGGAAGAGTTGGGGTTGGAAAATAAGTAGAGGTCAGATTACATAAAATAAGTAATAAGAAGAAGTTGGCATTCCTATATGCCAGAGGTTGACAATTCTTTTTTTTTTTTCTCTAAGGGGCCAGATAATAAATATATTAGGTTTTTCAGGACATACCATCTGCATTACAACTATTCAGCTCTGCCATGGTAGGTGAAAGAAGATATAGATATTATATCAAGAAATCAGTGTGTCTGTGTCCCAGTAACACCATGTATGAATGCTAAAATTTAAATTTCATGTAATTTTCATATATCCAAAGATGGCATTATTCTTTTGATTTTTTTGAAACCATTAAAGATGTAAAAACCATTATTGGCTGACAGGCCATACAAAAGCAGGCAAGGTGTCAGATGTGACCCATAATTTGTCAAACCCTGATACATGCAACGGAGCATCACGGGAGTTTTCTGACAATGGAGTAAGGACAGGGACACTAGTGATAATTAGTGTTGTGCCTCTTAACCTGGCCAAGTGCACAGATGGGTATTTGCAGAAGGGCAACTGGAGAAAAAGAGACCAAGAAGCACACCAATGCCAGTGTATACAGGCTTGGATTATTTTATTAATCAGAAAGGAAGGGACAAGATAGATAAGAATAGAGGAGAGCATCAAGATTTACTGAATATTTTAAGACCAGATAATTGAAAGAATAATGACATCAATAATTAGATTAGAACAACCTAGAGGGTAAAGATTAGGCCAGGTCACCAACCTCTAACCCAACAAAGATAGAATACTATATTATTAACATCTCAAGTGGTACACATAATTCATTTTTATAATTATATCTGTGTAGGTTTTCCTGTTGTGGTCTCTCATAATTTATCTCTGAAATACCCTGTGATGGTTATTAGGCATCAGCTTGACTGAGTTGAGGGATGCCTAGATGGCTTGTGAAACATTGTTTTTAGGTGTGAGGGTGTTGCTAGAGGAGATTGACATTTGAGCTGATGGACTGGGAGAGGAAGACCCACTCTTAATGTGGGTGGCCACCATCCAATGGACTGAGCATGGCTAGAACAGAGCAGGTGGAAGAAGGTAGGATAAGTTTGCTTGCTGAGTCTTCTGGCTCTATTTCTTCTTCCTCTGCCAGATGCTTGCTTCTGCTCCTCCTGTCTTTGGACATCAGACTCCAGGTTCTTCACCCTTTAGACTCGGGTATTTGCACCAGCATCTTCCTGGGGCTCTCTGGCCTTTGGTGACAGACTGAAGGCTGCACCGTTAGCTTCCCTGATTTTGAGGCTTTTGCACTTGAACTGAGTTACTACCAGCTTCTCTCTTTCCCCAGCTTGCAGATGGCC